CTCCATTATTCATAAATGGATACGCGACAATTACGATACGAATGATTACCCATTCGCATGCTCTTCGCAGCAGATACACATAACTTATTTCTATAATGCTCCTCTTTGTATGCATGTTTTTTTTTACAACAAAAATGCATACAAAGTTAATTTTAGAAACATAGATTGACCCAAAAACGGCGAGCCTATGAAATCAATGAAACGGAACAATATCGGCAGCCCAGCAACAGGAATCCATCATAATCAACGTTTCATTGTCGAAATAGTCAATTTCTTGCCCACATAATGAGTAGGAAGCGGACGTTACACCGAGGTATATACTAACTTTTGCCGCACCAAACGGGGTGAGGATGACCTACACAAGGACCAAAATAGTGCATCGCTATTTGGACAAATCTTCACACATTTCTCTGAGTGTACATACAAGGGTGGAGTGCGGTCTGTGTTACAGAGGACAACTTCTCGGAATCATCGCCTCCGCACACCTCCGCAGCGGAGAGACCGAGGCCCCGCTTGGGCATTTAGGTCAGACTCAAGTGACTAGTTCGAGGAAATCGATGCACCTTTTAATGCAGGGTCTCGTTAATAATCTCCTCGATAATATTATTGCAAGATAATGCAGGCGTGCGGCTGCAGCATATGTTTACCTGGTTAAATTCTTGAGAACGCAAGCAAGCTCGGACCATTTGCTACCGAGAAACAACGAGCAGGTTTGTTCCCGGGAATAACAAGGCAAGGCCTGCATTGTGTAACATGCCTAACATGTGTTCAGTACGACCATTGTATCAATTACTGAGTGGAAAAAATCGATCATATGCGGAAAAAAATTATTAAATTGAGCAGAAATTTTGTGATGTGAATTTATTTATAGGGAATGATGGACAAAATCGAAGTCAGTACGAATATTTTCTTAACAAAAGATGATTTGCAAGAGAATACAAAATCAGCGTTCAGCGTATATATAAATTGAGGGAATCAAATATAAAATCAAACAAAGAAATGGACACGCCACAAGTACAACTACGACGTCGGCTTAAGAAACTTAACAAAATCTAAAAGATTTTAAAGCAATTTTAGAATCCCGTTATCCTGAATATATTTGATCTAATAAATGCTGTTTAAATAAAGACCTATTTAGAGATAAGTTTCATATCGAACACCGTCAGGAATAATAAACGTTTGTCATTTTTAATATAATGCGAGGCGCAATATTTGCTTAAAATGGTTGTTGTTCGGAATTTTGTTTGTAATTTTAGTTCAGAGTTCAACGGAAGAAATGTGCGGAATGCTAAGGTTCGATGATTATTGTAGCGTGGAAAGGGAGAGCGAAGGTGTGTCTTGTATTAGGATGCGATACGCAATTGGTAAATAATAGTTGCGGAATATTTTTTGAGAATACTTCGATTTCATGCTTATGGATATGTTTATTTGTTCAGTTTTAATTAGTTATTTATGTATTTTTATTTGGTACTTTTAAGAAAGCCTCAAAAGCCAAGATCGGAGCTCAAATGCCAAGACTGAATCCCAAATGTGAAATACTTCAAGCACAAGATGGATGCCACGCACTCAAGTGTCAACGTTTGAGTGTTTATTCCTAATATTCTACAGCCCATGATTGTTTAATTTGTTATTTAAAGAGTGGTGAAATAAAGAATTTTAATTAAATTTCATCAGTGACATTAAACCTGTGCGATCACGCAGGCTAGTTGGTTTTGGAAGCCCCAACTACAGTGAGATTCCAGTCTCGTTTCAAAATATAAATAAAATATTTTGCATTGTTCTTCACACTAAGATTAAAATTTCAGGTAATATCCTGATCCGATACTTATCGTGGATCCACGCCCAGACAGAAGTTATATATTTGTGGTGCCAGCCTTGAAGTACCCACGCACCATACCAATGCATATTGCATAACAATGTCTACAGAATTTAGTACACAGCAGTTGTATTCCAACTATACTCTAAAAAGGGCATGATCCAACAGTTGTAGTTTAGACTAACTCCACGATGCATTTTAGAGGCTTTTATATATTTTAAGCGGACTAGGAAAATTTTCTTTCAATGATACATTTATTCATTTCCATAAAATAATACGTTAGTTAAATTCGCAGTTTGTAGAGGCTCAAAAACAGTTACGCTCCTAAGCAATGATGATACTTTTCGCTGCCAAACAAATAATTCGCAGCTCGCAGCAGGACGAAATAAATACTACATCCATGTAGTATTTATAAATACCATGTAGTATAAATAAATACTACATCCATTTGTTATTTATTCTGAATCTTATTCATAAGTCCATGGGACATAAGATACCGGGATCGCCAAGCGTCATCGAGGGCTCTCGAGGAGTGCGGATGCGGGCATATCCAGTGTTGGTCGTTCGATCGCTAGGTCTGTTCCGACCGCGGCCCAGAAGTTTGGCACTTAAAGTAACTGTATAACAAGTTTAGGTGTGCATCACCTTAAAACTTCTTCAGTTCTCCCAAGAAAATAAAAGATAGGTAAAGAAATAGAAGTCACATGGAAGTCACGACTCAACGTCGTGTCTGTCATTCCTCCTACTTAGAGCGGTGCTGTTTGTTACCGGCAACATATTTACTTCCATGTAAAAAATTCATACTTGCTTTCATGTAAAAACTTCAGTCACGTGGATTATCCCAGGGTATTATAATTAACGGGAAGTATTTCTTAGTAAATGTTTGATCAAGCGGCACTATAAATGAAAGGCAGACGAAACGTATGGCAAGGATCTAAAATCATTATTCAAATCAACGTCGTTCAACAAAAAATTCAAATGCAATAGTCGAGTGCAGTTCCCGGAAAATTCAAAACCATAATAAAAATAACACGTGGTCAACAATTCGTGCGGCGATCTTAAGTTCTATCATATTCGTAAGCTGAGCTTTCCATGTCCGATTTGGAGCTTTAAAATGGTGCGGTCATTTGAAGAGTTCCACCAAAACCTGCGCGCGCGATACCGACGATGAGAGCTTGTTTTCCGTGTTAAGTAAACATTCGGAAACCTTCAACGCCCGAGTAATTATGAACAATTCGGTAGGAATAGCATAGAATAAAACTAAAGTGGATGTACAGTAGATTTTTTCGTATTGTGTGGTAGGTACAAACTCTACTTTTATTTCCTGAAAATGCATGCATCCTTAAGGCGAGTAGCTGAGTTAGAGGAGTGCATGACATATGCAAATATTGGCTTCATTAAAAATAATCTTTAAAATAGGGCCAGTGATGAGTCAGCGTCCTGCAACCTCAGCATGATTGCTAACAAAAGTCAGGGAATAATTTCGCCTCGTGGTCATAATAACGAATATCATGAGTTAGATCAGGATATTTTATGTGCATATTATGTATTAGCTCATGCAACTTGTTATTATCGTATTATTAAAGAACACTTCATGATTATAACCAATGTTAGATAGAACTTAATTGTAAAGCATGGGCCTGGACTCGTCGATGCTCTATTTGTTGACATGATCATTTACAAGTCAGATTTAATAATAATCAAAGTAGGCGTTGAATTGTGAACAAATAAGCTGTCGAAAACCATTAATGGAAATATTCTGAACAATTTAAGGCAACGACTACTTAGGACTACTTTTTTTCAAAATACCAACATGAATCCCATAAAGAGCATTCGCAGAAATTTCAAATTAAATGTAAAAAGTGTGAATATTTTAAGCCTGAAAACCACTCTTTCGTACAACAGCGTTAGCGTGCGACCAACTTTAAGTTTAAAGTCGATCTTCGCTCCCAAATCTGCGGATTCGTGGCAGCCAAGTTTCATTATGATAATTAAGGTGAGCGAAATATAAACATATGCACAGCAAGACAGGGAGAGTGATAACGCTGGGAGACAAGATTGCACAAGTCTGCCAGACTATTACCGCACAGCCGTGAAATACGCTCATCACAACGACGTGAAATATGCTCATCACAACGACGTGAAATACGCTCATCACAACGACGTGAAATACGCTCATCACAACGACGTGAAATANGCATCTTCTCCTCGAGCCACAGCGCCAGGCAGTGACGCACTTCTATCGGGAAGGCATGACTCACCAGTGCTGCATCTTCTCCTCGAGCCACAGCGCCAGGCAGTGACGCACTTCTATCGGGAAGGCATGACTCACCAGTGCTGCATCTTCTCCTCGAGCCACAGCGCCAGGCAGTGACGCACTTCTATCGGGAAGGCATGACTCACCAGTGCTGCATCTTCTCCTCGAGCCACAGCGCCAGGCAGTGACGCACTTCTATCGGGAAGGCATGACTCACCAGTGCTGCATCTTCTCCTCGAGCCACAGCGCCAGGCAGTGACGCACTTCTATCGGGAAGGCATGACTCACCAGTGCTGCATCTTCTCCTCGAGCCACAGCGCCAGGCAGTGACGCACTTCTATCGGGAAGGCATGACTCACCAGTGCTGCATCTTCTCCTCGAGCCACAGCGCCAGGCAGTGACGCACTTCTATCGGGAAGGCATGACTCACCAGTGCTGCATCTTCTCCTCGAGCCACAGCGCCAGGCAGTGACGCACTTCTATCGGGAAGGCATGACTCACCAGTGCTGCATCTTCTCCTCGAGCCACAGCGCCAGGCAGTGACGCACTTCTATCGGGAAGGCATGACTCACCAGTGCTGCATCTTCTCCTCGAGCCACAGCGCCAGGCAGTGACGCACTTCTATCGGGAAGGCATGACTCACCAGTGCTGCATCTTCTCCTCGAGCCACAGCGCCAGGCAGTGACGCACTTCTATCGGGAAGGCATGACTCACCAGTGCTGCATCTTCTCCTCGAGCCACAGCGCCAGGCAGTGACGCACTTCTATCGGGAAGGCATGACTCACCAGTGCTGCATCTTCTCCTCGAGCCACAGCGCCAGGCAGTGACGCACTTCTATCGGGAAGGCATGACTCACCAGTGCTGCATCTTCTCCTCGAGCCACAGCGCCAGGCAGTGACGCACTTCTATCGGGAAGGCATGACTCACCAGTGCTGCATCTTCTCCTCGAGCCACAGCGCCAGGCAGTGACGCACTTCTATCGGGAAGGCATGATGTGCATACGACGCCTTCACCTCACGCAGCGCGTCGGGCGGCAGTTGTTGGGCCCGCGACCACAGAGACATCGGGCTGGTTACAAATATATACTTCACACACGCCGGTATTCAAGTCCACCTTTGATGGAAAGATTTTTTACGTGCTTCTTCTTCCTGTCGCTATAACGCATATGTTTTCAGTCAATGTTTTTATTACATGGAGTCTATGTCCACTTCACAGCCTATACAACCGGTCTTGAGGCATATAAATCTGGGAGATAGTCACTCAGTGCTCATTATTTTCTGAATGGCACAAGTAGCACAGTTTCCTAAAAATTAAGCTCTATTCTTCTTAATTTATTACTTATCTTTCAGGGAGGACCCACTAATTGCACAATCAAAACGAAACGACCGAGTTCGTAGCAGGCGTATCAGACGATGTGCTGAGCCACCTCCAGAGGCTTGATTTCAACAATCAATCAAATGAATCAACGAAGATTCATTTACGCTTAGAAACCAGGTTCAGGTGCTTTATTTCTAGAGCAAAATATTCCACATAAAGTCTCTTCATACGACCAACTGCTCCTCAAATAAAAAGATATTTAAGGGCAGTATTTGCAAGCAGAGTGATCAGAATGATTTAGCCCAGCACACACCCAGCACATTTCCACTCCACGTCGTTTAGTCAATGCAGTGCGCACTCATCGATGATACCGAGAAAACCTCAACGAGTTAGCGGAAGCGGCGACTGGTCCTTTCAGTTGCATGAAACTTCACAATGAGCGTACAAACTATTAAAATAGGCTGCTTGAGTAAAAATGTTCTGGTGAATAATATCATGCAGAAAATTTATTCCAAATTTTTTTTCTGAACTGAGATGACAAAATTTTACTACAAGTCTGAATAAACACTGTTCACCGAGTGGCGAGTCGGTTTTCAAGTTCAATGGTTAGGTTAATGTTAATCGTCATAGATAGACAGGTCACCTTTAAAACCTTGATTTTTAATTTAGTTTTTCCATAAATAACGAAAAGTTCACAGAAGAAGCTCATAGGCTTACGTATATATAAATGACTACAAGTCCTTAATAAATATGAGTTGAAGCTTGTTACGGACAGACTGTTGGGACGCAAAATCTGAAAAAATATAATTTCTATTAAGATGACAGTAAATGCGTAAAAATAATCTTTATCAATGATTTAATATCAATAAATTACACAGATTAATTAGCAGGGCACCAAATATTATGTTCAAATAGCTAGAATATAGAATAAAAGTTGTACACTTTTACTAATTCAGGAACAATCTTTTCTTACACAATACATCTGTCAACTTTAAAACTTTAAGAGAGATGAAAGTGCATTACCAGTGACTGATGATTAACAGGTATGCTTAGTACAGAAATTTTCAAAGTTCAAATATTTATATACAGTAGTTAAAAATATTTTTTAAACTGAATGGAAAAATTTAGAACTTTTTAAGCAGAATGGGATGGTGAAAACTTTTTTCAATCATCCCATACTAAATAAAAAATACATTAGATATAGAAGTCCCAAATTTTTCAACCACTGAAAGCATTTTGCTCAAAGGTGACAGGTAGTAAGAGTTGCACATAAAATAAACTCCACAAATTTAATTTTTCAGCAATATGGGATTCATCACATGAATTGAGTTACGTATTACGAATGAGTTGATGATTTAAAAATTTATCTGTATTTCTGTTAGTTTTTTGCACCAATTACAAGAAATGAAATCAAACATATAAATAAATCTTTTACCACAAAGCTTCAACAAACTGACTGAAAGATTATGATTAAATACACATGCAGAATGAATTTTTATCATAATTTATGAAGCAAATAAAGATTGTACATGAAAAGTGTTTAAACATTTTTGTAATATGCCATGCTTCTAACTTGATGTGCAAGTTAAGCTTGTTGGTTTTCACTTGTTCTTAATTAATCAATTATGGCAATATATTTTAGGTTTATGGAATGACTCAAAAAAGTGTGAAAACAAAATCAGATACCGGTATACATTTAACATTATGAAATGTTACCTACCATACTTGTCTTTTCTAAATAACATTCTACAAATTTAAATACAAGAGAAGCAAATGTCACCATTACATTTTCATACATTACAATTACAATGAATACATGCATAGATAGAAATATATATTACATTCAATGACACTTGTTAAATAAATTCTTATTTTTAGACATTGTAATCTAGAAATTTATGAATTTACAATAATTTCACATGGTTTCATTAGTGATTTAATAAATTATACTTAATAGCAGATTTATAGTCTTCTTGCAGTATTAGCTCACCAATGAAGGGAACCAAGTAAACAGTTTGTACATGAGAACATTACACTATCCAGTTAATTTAAATAACAATTAAACAGGTTATAATTAATGAAGACCCCTTTTTTTAGTGTTATGTGATTTCAGAGAATTCAATAGTTACCTACTTATATATAATTGTAATTATTGACTAAAGATATATACAAAGACAAGAAACTTCAGTAAATTAGTCTGTTATAACAAAATAAGATCATTAACTGCATAAATGATTTTGTATCAAGTAAAAGCTGAACTGTCGTGTCACCATGTTGCTATTTGCTCTTACAAATGAGGAAGAGATTCAGCATGTATATAAATGTCAAAATAATAAGAAAGAATAATATAGTGGTTGGTTATACTTTATAGGAAAATTTTTTTAAGTTTAAAATGAACATGCTCTAAGTTTACTATCAATATTAATGTTTTGATGTTTAAGACTAAAGCTTCAGAGTTTTCCTTTTACTACATAAGGTGCTTTTCTGCAACTTTTCTGATTAGTGAATGAAGTTTCAGTACTGTCTGTACTGACAGCTTCTTGTGCATAATTTTCATACAACAGGCAAGCATTACTCAATCAAGTGAAATTTCACCACTGAGATAATTTTGTATAATCAATCTAATCATGTATATTTATTATTCATAAATACCAAATTAAAAGAAGAAGAATTTATAAAATATCATTAGCCATGTATTGTCAGGAAAAATATGTCAGATAATTACAATAAGTACAGTACCGTATGCCATTATAGATTATTAGAAATTAAAGAGAAATTTATACTATCAATAGGCCTAATTAAATTATATTTTATGAATTTTCTTGTTCATGGCAGCTACTAATAAAATCTTCATTTTCAAAAGTACACCTTAAAAAAAAAAAGAGTGAAAATGACTTCAAAATTGATCTACATGTTATGACTTGAATGTAAGTAAATGCTATATGTTAAATGTAAACAGTTGATGCGTTTCCATGAAGAAATGATGGAGCCCAAAAAACTTGAAGACTAATATTAATAAAATCAAATAGAAGAAAAGAACTGCATTATTTTTTTACTAATATCATAAATTATCCAGATATTTATTAGAATTAATTTTTGGGGGGTTATTTACAGTTGCACATAGATATACTAAGTTTCAATTAATAACATGAACAAAATATGAGGTAATAATAATAATAATAAACTAATTTTTTATATGTTGATGGAGATTTTTCTATTTTATTTAGCAGCTAAATGAATTAAAATGAGGCACAACTTTACTTCAGGACAGTAAAAATGTTCATGTTATGCAGTCACAGCCAAGTTTTAATAGGATGATTCAACTGACCCAAATAGTATTGGCAACTCAACAATTGTCCATCCTATTATGATATTATCCCATTGATTTCCTATTCAGGTGATTCATTCATCATTGCTTCCTATTCTGGTGATTCATTCACTTCCTATTCTTGTGATTCACCTACTACAGCTGTCTACACTCTACAGTCTACACGTGCATAAAAAATCATAATCATAGCTACAAAAGTCTAATAAGTAAAATAATGGTTAAATTACAAACTGAACTTTGAAACTCGGGAACTATACAAGCGAAAGCAATCGGCTAACACAGCTACCCAGTGCAGTCAGCAACTAGTGGTGACGTGAGTCAGCGGCGCGGCATGGAGGGCTAACTCAGCAACGGAGCTCGAAATGGTTAGGAAGATATTTCTGTTCCATATTCTCGACGGTTATACCAAGCACATAAAAAATTGCTACATACAACATGAAGAGCTTTTTAAGCTTAGGACGAGACTGCAGAATTGATAATAAACCATGTCAGCTAAACCAGCAGCTTTAAATAGACTTCGTATTACACACGATTCGTCAAATCGTACCCGGCGTTTGTTTTCTTAGAAAATGTAAGTTTCCTGGAGTTTATTGTGGTGATCTTTTCCTTACTGATAGTCAAAACACGATATATGAGTGCTTTTTCTTAAAACTATCAGTACTATCATAGATAACCTGCTTATCTCACAATAGAGTGGCAGATGTGACGCGACAAGAGAGCACGAGTCACACACCTCTCATCGCAGGCTTCGCCGCAGCACTACACACGTTTCGACGAAATCTCAGGTGTTTCGTGGAATAAACAAGACCACGTGACCACATGGTGCCAACTCTTTTCCTACAAAATTTAAATTTGAAATCTAAATTTGCAAATAACCCGCATTAAATGAAAAATAGATATATTTAATAATAATAAATTAATTTAATTGATATATGTTGAGTTATTTTGTATTTATTCTGAATTAAAAAAATTTTAAAATAAATTTGGCACATTGGATAGACGCTTGACGGTAGGTGCTCTGATTGGCTAATGCGCATCTCCACAGGTAAAACATTTACCTGATCAAAAAGGAGTGGAAACTCATACTCATTATGAATATTATACAATCACTAAACTAATTCTATAGAAACCTAAGGGATGGATATCGATGTATCACCAAGCTATAAGCGAATTATCATGGAAGTTTCAGGAAAAAGATAATGCCTATGTTCAATGAATCGTGCAATGTGTATGATTTCCAACGGGTGATTAATTAGAAATATCGTTTCAGTCAAGTTAAAATTGACTGAAATGCGTACAATTTTCGTCTTTATTTAAAATAGAACACATAAATAGTTACGTGAACTAAACAGAAACTAGGCCGATAATTACACTGCATTTTCTGTTGCAGTTCTAAACTGATGCCAATATGGCGATCATTTCAGACCGGCTCAAAATTTTAATGTTTCTGTGTGCTAATTAAATCAATCCTTAGATTAATTGTGATTATTTCGAGTAATGTAGACCGAAGAAGTATAGTGTGTAGATTCAGCAATGATGGAACCTTCAAAACCGTTCAGGACGTGAACTTGCAACCTAATTCGTGTGTGTGTTCGTTACTGTTAGGCATTTCGGACGCTGCTGCTAGTATATGAACCTCCGTGCAGTGTTGCCAGGGAAATATTCCGTACAGTGTTGCTAGTAAAACATTTCGTACAGTGTTGCTAGTAAAAAATTTCGTGTAGTGTTGCTAGTAAAACATTTAGTACAGTGTTGCTAGTAAAACATTTCGTACAGTGTTGCTAGTAAAACATTTCGTACAGTGTTGCTAGTAAAACATTTCGTGTAGTGTTGCTAGTAAAACATTTCGTACAGTGTTGCTAGTAAAACATTCCTTACAGTGTTGCTAGTAAAACATTTCGTACAGTGTTGCTGGTAAAACATTTCGTACAGTGTTGCTAGTATAACATTTCGTACAGTGTTGCTAGTAAAACATTCCGGAAGTGTTGCTAGTAAAACATTCCGTACAGTGTTGCTAGTACAACATTTCGTGCAGTGTTGCTACTGTAGTAAAACATTCCGTACAGTGTTGCTAGTAAAACATTCCGTACAGTGTTGCTAGTAAAACATTCGGTGCAGTGTTGCTAGTAAATCTTTCCGTGCAGTGTTGCTAGTAAAGCATTCCGTACAGTGTTGCTAGTAAAATATTCCGTGCAGTGTTGCCAGTAAAACATTCCGGCAATGTTGCTAGTAAAATATTCCGTACAGTGTTGCTAGTAAAACATTCCGTGCAGTGTTTTTAGGAAAGCACTTAGTACAGACTGTACAGTGTTGCTAGGAAAACATCTAGTACAAGGTTTTTAAAAACCAATCCGTACAGAGTCTCTAGTGAAACATTGCGTACAGTTTGCTATTAAAACATTTCATTTATTGATGCTTGAAATCATATCGCTCAACCTATGGCTATCAACAAATTTTGAGCAGTATT